TTTCAAATTTTAGTGGGAAAATTCTGATGTCTCCTTTTTTCTCCTGTGTTTGCTTATAGGTTAAACACAAAATAACTAAGTACATACTTGATGTAGCTTTAATTTTCTTGGAGAATTACAGACACAAAAAGGAGGGGGAGTAAAATGTGTTTATTTAAATAAACTTAAGCAAAAATATCTTGGTGGTTTTTTTCATAATTTTGTGATCCTTATCTATGGCATTTAGATCAGTCATTGACTTATCAACTGGAGAAGGACATCCCAAGTGGATGAAATCTATTTGAATGCAGTTTTAAAAGATTATAATAACTGGTAATTTTTTTACACTGGAAGTACATTTTAATATTTTATATACTAACATTGTTTAATCCATGCCATTTTCTGCTTTACAAAATGGGATTGTTACAGTACACATGTAATAAGCAGCTGGCATTAACTTACAGTGTTAATTAAATCCTACAAAGTCATAAAGATATGAACCTTGGTATAACAAAAAGAATACATCCATCATGTGAAAATAGTAGACTTTTGCATTTATTTTGCATGTCTGTAGTTGACCACACCAGACAGGAGGCATGGAGAATTAAGCTCATGATAAATAATTGTGTTATGCTATACTGTTTTGATTATTTCTCCCCACCGGTACCTCTCTCTTGGCCCCTTATTTTCTTTTTTCTTTTCTCTCTTTCAGTGTACAGGGTAGAATGCAAATAGCCTTGTTGTGCAGGATTTTAAGTTAAAGGGAATGTTTTACAGTACTGTCCTGTCTCCCAGCATTGCTTAAGAGTCTTTTAAATACAGTAACATAGGAAGTCCTTGAGATTGCAACAACAGTGTAATTTCATTAGCCTCACAAAGTTTAGCCTTTATGATTTGTGCACTGGTAAAGGCAGATTAGAATCAGGTTTCTGTGACTCCTCAGCATGACTTTAGATTGTTTTAGAATAGCAATGATAGTAAGAAAAGAAATCCATATAATAAAATTATATAAGTAGCTGTGTAGTTTTAGAAATGTAAAATGCCTGTAGCTATATCCAGGTACACTTAAAGCACAATGTTGAAAATAGCATTGTCTTTTCGAGCTTGCAGATCCACATTCAATAAATACATGGTTCCACCTGTGTGATACTGTGATACAGGAAGTCATCATCTGTAACATGGTACCAGTAAAGTAACAACTTAACTTTTCATGGTTATTTATTTAGCGCTAAAAGTTCTCCTGACACCCACTTCCCCATCACACACCCGTAGAAGCGCACAGAATTTTTTTGGCATCTCACGCATAAAACACTGCATCGCAGTAACTGTTGATGTTGGACAAAGGCACAAAACCTAACCAGATCCACCAAGGGGACCTTATTTCCCTGTTTTGCCCAGCTTGTGTAAATAAATATGTAGCAACATCAACAGGGGTTTGGTAGCGACAGAGATGAATGTACAGTCAGAGCAACAGCGGATTATCAGCATTGTCGATGTTTAAGTATTATGGTTTTCATCTGTTGAATTTCGTGGATTTAAACCCCCCCCAAAAACCCGATGCAAAACAAAAAACAAAAATCAGATCTGCTTTAAATTAAAAACAGATTAATTGGCTTCTTCGTTTTAACCATAAAGACATAGACACGCTTCACATTTCATTAAAAAATAATTTGTTTTTAACCCATCTGCAGTCTTTTCCTGCGGGCAGGCACATACGATCATCCAAAGGGGAAAGAGGACTTCAGGTTCACATTCACGTCACGATTCCATTTTGAAATGAAACACACTTAACCGAGCTCTCTGCTCCCTTGAAGTCCACCAGATCAGTCGCTTGCGGGCGACGTTTGCGTGCTTCTGCCACCGCGCTTCCGTGGCGCGGAGTAAGGTGCGGGGACTGCGCCCCGCGCGTAAACCCGGGCTGGTTCCTGCCTTTGTTCCGCACCCGGTCCTTGCCGCGCTCTTGTAGTGTCCCGCCTGCAGTTTTCCACATTTCCAGTAGATGCCCCCAGAGACCACTAAACCTCTTGAACGTCTCCGCTTCAAACCCCATGAAAGGCCAGTCTTTTTTCATTTTGCTTCTCGAAGTAACGTAATTGTTCAAAGGAAACCTAAAATCGGCGTGCGTGCATTGCGGGAAAAAACAAACTTACTTGCTCGATCATAATTCATAAGGTAGTAAGGTTTAGTGCAAACTGGTTTATTAATGGAGTAGGAACATACTGCTAACTGTTGGATTTTATAAAATAAGTCCATATAGATTTAATTAGGCATCAGGTTTTGATAGTGGTATTAGAAATAAAGTAGTCATCTTCGGTAATACAAAACACGAGATGTTCTATTTAACCTCTCATTTTACATGCTGCACAGCATCATAAAAAACAGTATGAAAAGGATTTTGAGGACTGAGGATTTATAGTTTATTTCAATATAGCACAAAAAGTTTGCTTCCCTCATCCACACTGCTCCTCTGTCTGAAAGCACTGTTTACTGCAAAAAAACAGAACACGGACATTTTCATCTGGAACCAGTCTGATAACTGAAACAATTTCAGAATTCATTGCAATGTCAAGCTCTCTTATGTGTCACAAATACCATTCATACCCATAATATCATTAATTTCTAGCCCTATTGTATCGTTTGTGTGTGATCAGTCACTTGTGGCTTATATATTGCAGAAATGTAAAGAAACAATATTATTTTGCACTTTCTGTGTATTCTGGTTTAAAATATAACTGAGAGGTAACTTGTATCTTTATGTCTCTAAAATTTGAATGTTTATACAGTAGATAGCTTCATTTCTTGTGGGTTAAAATTATTTATCTTTGCCTAAGACAAAATCTGCTCTGTACTGTATGATTACTTAAGCAGTATTTCAATTATCTTCATAATTGGGATGGGATTTATTAAAAGAATATTGACACTATTAGAATTGACCTGGTTTAGTGTATTTATTTTTCCTGTGTTGGTATGCTAATAATTCTGTCTTGTGGGGAAAATGTGCTTTGACTTCACATAAAATGCAGCAGTCTACAGGAAATAACATGTTACATGGGCACAGTTATTCTATTTATACGAGTATTGGTGCTGTGCTCGGTGAGTATGCAGTGAGTGTTAAAAATGAACTGAATGTTTTTGTTTAGTCACTGTTAAGATCTTTCGGCAGTACTCTCTTGTTTACTTCCAGTATGTCTAATGATTGAATGCATTCACACATATACACATACATAGATCATATTATATAAATAAATACGCATGCCTGTGTGCCCACTGTACAGATTGTTTTTCCACTGCTCCGAGTTCTATTACTGTAGGATTCAGTCCTAGGCCTTTGGCAGCTAGAAGGAATTTTGTACCTTTTTGAGTTTTTTTTACTTAGATATAATTTTAAAACAGAAAAAGCAAAGCACTCTGTACACAGAGAATACATTGTATGTATAAACATAATATGTTTACATTATTTTTAAGCTATGTACTGTGCATCTGATATATGACAAATATAACATATTCTGGCAAATTAAAATTTAAATGTTTAAAGATTTCTCAATTACTTTTCTAAGACAAATCTGCCAAATGCTTTCTTATACAGAATCGTTACATATTTTCCCTTGTCTGTATGAACAATGTATGCTTTTCCATTGCAAAAACCATCTATTTATATTTTAAACAGAAATCCACTACTGTCTATTTTAAATTGTATCAGGATTTTGTCATATTTTTATGCCCAATTCTGCAGCTGCAATGTAAAAAATACATATGAAGGATTGATGTGCATCTATGTAGTAGCAGATTTTATTCTAATCATATTAAATATGAAATAATGCAGATTTACTTCATACATCTCACATTATTGTTTATTTCATTGACACCTAGCTAGGATGGTTTTTACGTCACTTCCAGCTTATTAGCACTGTTAAAAAATGCAGTAGCTCTTTTTAAACTAGAAGTATTAGTCTCATTAGGCTATTGTTTAGCATGAGGTCATCTGAATTTACTATGTACACTAGAAATCTCAGGTTTTGGAATTCCATCTTTATTTTAAAGCTGCTGAGAATTTGAGGTTAAATGGATTTTAATCTAAAAAGACATTCTTCACTATAGTTTGGAAATTGAATGGAATATACAAAATAAAATTAACCTATCTGAGTCCTTGCCATTTTAGTGTAGGACAAAGGTTTGTTTTCTCACACTATATACCTATGCCTGCAAACCTTTACATCTATACTTTAGTGTTGGAGGCAGTCCCATTAGACTCATAGTTTTCTCCAGGATAGGACACGAGGATTGTTTCATGCCACATAAAAGAAATATTTTGATTATTTCCATAAATAATACCTCAAAAGATATATTACCTCTTGAGAACATTTGATTACATGACTTCTTGATATGTATATCTTACCAGAGTTTATGAATGAGATAACTTTGAAATAAATTCATCATTGTATCATTTGATTTTAAAATCAGAGAGAAATTATCAAACTTTTGCATCAGTAAACCAGTCCCAGCTGAAGTTACATGCTAAACGGAAGGAAAATAATATCTAATGATTACATTCTTGGCGTTTGTTTGACGTTTTAAACCAAGCCATCATATCCTACAGCAAAACTACTTAACATATACATTGTTTTGACATGTAGAATGTGTCTCATTTTTCCCTGTGCACTGTTTTAAAGCAAACTAGGAGTTCATTGTGTTTTCAGGAACTAGTGTAAACATGGGGGGTTTTCCCATCAGTAAGCCTTTTTTACCAATACCAGCTAAAGAATGCCAGTATATTCTTCACATCCTTTCAATATGTATATTGCTATTTATTCATTATTGCCATATTTATTTCCCTTGGATGTGGCATTCTCAATTGTATTTTAGCAGAACACTTTTTTGAGCAGGGGAAAAAATCCTCTTCCCCCGCCGCTGAACTGCAGAGGTCTCTTCTTGAAAGCCGTTTTAGTTATCTGTACTTATTTGGTAAGGCGGAGAAGAGAATACAGGTTTCAAGGCTTAAAATCTCTCTTTCTTATTCCCAGTAACAGGAATTCATACAAGAAGAACATCTGCATAGACATGCTGCGACAGGGTTATCACGAGTCCTTCTCTGAGCTCTTCACTCTGATACAGAAGTGGAATGCCTTGAGGGAGGCTGCAGGGCCTGGGTCAGCCATATGGCAGCAGAAGTCCCTGGAGGAGCAGCCTGATAAGCTGGATCAGCTTTACCACTTCCTGACCAGGGCTGAGGGGGCCCAGCGTGCAGGTAAATGGGGGGATTGTGGGTAGCAGAGCAGTGGGAGCCGCAGCCGCGAATGCCTGGGGGAACCTTCCAAATTGTTTCATGTATGAATTTGAAACGTTACTGCATCTTAGCACATTTCAGCCTTAGTCGACTAAGCTGTATTTATAGAATAAATGATTAGGAGCTGCAGATATCAGGAGAGGTTTTGCGAAGGAAAAAAAAAAAAGAAGGGAAAAAACACGAGTGCATTATGATACCATCAGAAATGTTTGATGTATTTATGGCTTTGATAACATCTCAATTATTTTCTCATAGTTTCATTATTTATTGTTTTTCTTTCTCTATTGATTTGAGTAGCTGGTTTTGTATTAGAAAAATTTAATAGGTGAAATGCTGTTTCACACAGTAGTAGTTTTATAAATCTGATTTTATTAAGTACCCTGTCTGCTAACTGTGTTTGGATTTGTGACTGACTTAAAAAGGATTGTGAACACGTCAAATAAAATACAGCACACAGAAGTAACATGCCACCTGTGAATTACTAGATATTAGTGAAGACATAACTCCAAATTACTGTATTTTCTCTATTGCCTACTATTTACTAAGCACTGATATTTATCATTTCCCTTTACTATAAATAGTAACAAAACCTACTCTGTCCTTCCCCCTTGGAATAATTGTAGGGAGGAAGGCAGATAAAACTCTCACTACAATCCCATTTCATGGCTGAGCTGATTTCACTAAAGTAGGCTTGTTTCAAGTTGCATTTTGATAATTACAAATACAAAAATCTGTGGTAAAGTTTATGAGTCTGGAACGTAAGCTTTTTGACTGAAATTCAGCAACAGACTTCATTTTAAAAAGGAACCTTAAAAAAGAACTTGAAAAGATGTTAATTTTAAACATTTATTTTATGTTTACTATGAAAGCCCAAAGTGGTATTTTGTAATTTAATCCACTGTAATTCTAGGCAGGAAGTCTAGCCAGCCCATGATTGGGAGGAATCTTTAGATTTGTCTGGAGCATGACTAAAACCAGAATAGTCACCCCTAGAGCTTGCAGGAGTACAAGAGAGAGGTTGTGTGCTTAGACTGCCCTGACAGAAGCACACTGCCAACACTCTGATATGGCTTGCTTATCTTGATGGGCCTGCTTCCTGCAGCTGCTCGAGGAGAGCATTTTGCCTTCCTTCAGTACGTGATATTTTTCCATGTCACAAAGTGATACATGACAACAGAGTTGGCAAAAGTGCTTCCAGAGAGTCACAGCACTGCTGACCATGCAGTTTCTGCCCCTATGAAGGGCACGGGCCATTTCTCTCACTGAACCCGACATCCGTTGCGTGCTGGGCTCTGAAAGTCTTTTATCTCCCATGGAGACAAGATTCTAGCAGTTGTCCGACTGATTGTATCTTGCCTTTAGGAGAGAATATGTCCCAACTTCACCATTAAAATGAAAGAAAATAAAACAACGAGAACATGCCAATGGAGTTGGCAAGCATCTTTACTGAATTGCTAGATCAAGGTAGTGAATTTTGGTTTTTTCACCAGTTTTGATACAAACCCCTGCACAAACCTCTTGTTTGTTTTAAGTGAGATTTGAGTCACCTGGCACATGAACGGGTGGATACTAATTCATGTTGCTGGTGTTAGAGCTCATGGTGCTGTGAAGATAACATATGGATTATACAGCTCATCAAACACTAATTCAGTAGTTCCGCTAATCCAGTTACTCTCTGATTCTAATCAAATTGCTTGGGGCTCTGCCTTATGATCTCCTGACGACTCTCATTGACACCATTTAGGAAGTGTTCAGCAGTTCACCTCAGCTGGAACTTACCATGATGTAGCATTCACAGGAGCAGCTGACCTGCATTTGCTCTTCAGCTGCCACAGCTCAAGCTTAAAAGGCTGAAGGTAATATTTGGGGTTGCAAAGTGTGAGAGTTTCACATTATGGCTGATGTCACTTATGTTAGGCTAGCTGAAAGTTTATTTGTCTTAGGAATGCTGTCCTAACAGCTGTGTTGAAGAAGAGATAGCAGGTGTAAACTATGGAAAAAAAATAAATAAAATCTTCATGACTAATAAGGTTTTTGAAGAGTTTAATATTTATGAAGGAATTGGTTTTTAACCTGAAGTGGTAAGTGCGAAATAAATCTTCACTTACTATGTCAGTAAGTGATTTTCTTATTTAATTTTTCTGACCTGATATTTTTGTATCATAGAGTGTTGCCGTCTTAATTGTGAATATAACTTAAAACTGCTGCTGCTAAGTTTAGAGTTTTATGATTCTTAACATAACACACAGAGAAAGCTAGGTATTAATTTACTTTCCATGTTTATTGGTAAGATATGTTAAACTCTGGTTTTTTCTATAGTTTGTAGTTACAGGATACTATAATGCTGGACATAAATTGTTTGCTTGAACAGAATCAGCACCATCCATCACAAGGTGGAGGCTGATATCAAAGAGCAATTTTTTTCTTTACTGCTGGGTTTGAAAATAGTGTCATTTTGTTTACCAGCTTTACGTTGTACAGAACATTTATCTTTCTGTACATCAATGTCCTGTTTTCATTTTTAGTCAAACATTTTGGTTAAACTTCAGATAATATGGGTGTTGTCTTTTTTTTTTAAAACAGGTAGCTTTTTTAAAAAAAAAGACACCAGTATTATCTGAAGTTTAATCATTTTTTTTTTAAAAAGGCTGTTACCAATATTATACTGGGTGCAAAGAAAATATTTTTTTTTCTGTCCAACTTAATCCCATTTTTGTTGTATTTGAACACCTCTGAAGTATTTAAAAACAGACCTTCCAGTAATCCTTGCACCTTCTCAGAAAAACAGCTGACAGTTATTTTACCCTGGGTACAGCATTATACCCAAAACATTGGTAGAAATATTGGTAATACCTGACTGCATTTCTGTTTGGTCTTTTTTGATGCAAATAATGTAAATGTGTCTGACTTTAAAATTGTGTTGTTTCTAATTATTACTTGATCTTCCTTCATTATTTCAGACTACCATCTCTTTTTACTACCTATGGCCTCAGTAGCTTAAAAAAGAAAGGAGACAGTCTAGATGTCTGAGTATGTGTAGTCGTAGGGGTTTTTACAGGAGAATGCAGAGTAAATGCCAAAGCAATACACATCTACATAACTCAGCATTTGATATATACAATTATTTTTTGCATGTATATGGAAACGTTGGATCTTTTCAAAAAGAATATTATATTTTGAGGCTGTGGAATGGCCTTTCTATTGCCTGCTTGCCTGCCTGATTGTACTGCTCTGATTAATTTCACTTAGATCGAATTGTCCTTGAAAGGTATAACACAGTGCTAGCAAATTGTTGTTACTATCCTTCTGAAGAGCCATAGCTCCCTAGCCCCTACTCAGTACTGTTCTCTGAGTTAGCAGGAGGGTTTGAAGCTCCAATCCATCCTCATCTGATGTTGAGGGTTGCTAACTAAATATCCTTTGGCTGCTGACACCCTGTGAGCAAATGCTGGCCACACCTTACAAAAGTATGCCAACTAAATAGAATTCTTTTTGTCTGTCTAAAACCCAGACAAAATTTGACTCTTTGTGTGCTTGAGTGGGTTATGAGGAAGAAGTAGGAACACAAGAAATCCAACTAAGAATTATGTTTTGGAATTTTTGAACAGCACCTATTGTGATGTGTGCCTGGGAGAACAGTTCATTATAATGATGATATTGCTGTTCCTCAGGTGAAAAATGTTTAAAAGTGAAATTAAAATCTTCGAGCTGGTATGTGCACAAATTGTAACTGACTCTTTAAATTGCTACTTGGCTGTTACAGTCTATCGTATTGTTTTAAAGCGCATTGCTAATTTACGTTTTTCGGCCTGTATGCTCATTAGACTTAGCCGCTTGTCTGAATCATCTAATCAAAGTATTGCATAGCTACTTTTATTTACTTAGCTCACACTGAGCCTACCAGAAGAATGATTAATAGGATGCACATTATGCTGTAAAGTATTAATTGTGTGGTTTAGACTGAGGTCAGCCTCTCAGTGATAGTGTGCCAAATTTGATTTTTTGTCAGTTAGAGGTCACCTGTCCCAGTATTATTTCCAAAGAGCCTGGAAAGTGGTGCTCTTCAGATTATGTCTGAATTAAAAGTGGGCTTGAACCCTAACTGAATCCTTAGTAGGAATAGCAGAAGCCTTGAGTTTGCTTGCATCGTACAGATTGAAGGGAATGAAGGGCAAGTTACAGCTCAACACCTATTGAAAGAAAAGGTGCCTCAGCCATTGGCTTTACCTTGCCGGAGCAGATGGACAAAACCAGGGAAAATGCTATGGTTTGGTGGCTGCAGCGTGCATCGAGCGGTCAGCACGGTAAATGGCAGGTCACTCTGTTTACTGTGCCAAAGCCCATGTAGAGAACTCATACTGGTTACACAAGATGCTGCTTATTAGTTGGTCATTGAGACAGCTTGTAGTGAGTAGGAGATAAGACCAAGAAGATGTTGCCTTTCTCACATTCCATCTACTCCCTGTTCCTGACCCCATGGAACCTTTGGGGTACGCTGCATGCTGAATGCTAAATCTGTGCATGTGCTACAGGCTGCTGACCCTTGTGTTAGAGAGTATCAGACTTGCAGAATTAAAAGGAAGTGCTGACTTGGTGCTTTTTTTCCTCACTTCAATGTACAGAAAACTTTTGACAGTATGAATTATTTGCTTCCGTAAAAGATAACTTTTCATAAAGCCTATGAAGAAAGCATGAGTATTTGATGTGTTTGCACTGGAAAATCTTTTTTTGTCTGAGGTGCTTATGGTTGAAAACAGAGTTTAGCATCTTACAGTGGAAAGCTTTTCTGTAAGATTTCTCACTTATGCCTCAGGCTGAGCTAGAAACATTGCAATAACCGTATTACCATGCTATTTTGAAAAACAAAACAAAAGAAAAACAGAAATAGGATAAAAATACCAGAACCTCTTTTAATATTTGCTTGGAGGAGACGTAGTTTAGTTTAGTTGGGGGGATGGGGA